ATATATATATACATATACATATATACATACATATACATACATATATACATACATATACATATATACATACATATACATATATACATACATACACATACATATATATATACATACACATACATATATACATACATACATATATACATACATACATATATATACATACATACATATACATACATACATATATACATATATATACATACATACATATATACATATATATACATACATATATATACATATATATACATACATACATATATACATATATATATACATACAAACATATATATACATACAAACATATATACATATATATACATACATATATACACATACATATATACATACATATATATACACATATACATACATACATACATATATACATATATATACATACAAACATATATACATATATATACATACATATATACATACATATATATACATACATATATATACATATACATACATATATACATACATATATATACATACACATATATACATACACATATATATACATACATATATATATATATATATACATATATACATACATATACATACATATACAGGTCCTTCTCAAAAATTAGCATATTGTGATAAAGGTCATTATTTTCCATAATGTAATGATAAAAATGAAACTTTCATATATTTCAGATTCATTGCACACCAACTGAAATATTTCAGGTCTTTAATTGTTTTAATCCTGATGATTATGGCATACAGCTCATGAAAACCCAAAATGCCTGTCCCAAAAAATTAGCATATTTCATCCCACAAATGAAAGACTAGTGTTTTTAATACAAAAAACGTCAACCTTCAAATAATCATGTTCAGTTATGCACTCAATACTTGGTCGGGAATCCTTTTGCATGAATGACTGCTTCAATGCGGCGTGGCATGGAGGCAATCAGCCTGTGGCACTGCTGAGGTGTTATGGAGGCCCTGGATGTTTCGATTGTGGCCTTAAGCTCATCCAGAGTGTTGGGTCTTGCGTCTCTCAACTTTCTCTTCACAATATCCCACAGGTTCTCTATGGGGTTCAGGTCAGGAGAGTTGGCAGGCCAATTGAGCACAGTAATACCATGGTCAGTAAACCATTTACCAGTGGTTTTGGCACTGTGAGCAGGTGCCAGGTCGTGATGAAAAATGAAATCTTCATCTCCATAAAGCTTTTCAGCAGATGGAAACATGAAGTGCTCCAAAATCTCCTGATAGCTAGCTGCATTGACCCTGCGCTTGATAAAACACAGTGGACCAACACCAGCAGCTGACATGGCACCCCAGACCATCACTGACTGTGGGTGCTTCACACTGGACTTCTGGCATTTTGGCATTTCCTTCTCCCCAGTCTTCCTCCAGACTCTGGCACCTTGATTTCCGAATGACATGCAAAATTTGCTTTCATCCGAAAAAAGTACTTTGGACCACTGAGCAACAGTCCAGTGCTGCTTCTCTGTAGCCCAGGTCAGGCGCTTCTGTCGCTGTTTCTGGTTCAAAAGTGGCTTGACCTGGGGAATGCGGCACCTGTAGCCCATTTCCTGTACACGCCTGTGCACGGTGGCTCTGGATGCTTCTACTCCAGACTCAGTCCACTGCTTCCGCAGGTCCCCCAAGGTCTGGAATCGGCCCTTCTCCACAATCCTCCTCAGGGTCCGGTCACCTCTTCTCGTTGTGCAGCGTTTTCTGCCACACTTTTCCCTTCCCACAGACTTCCCACTGAGGTGCCTTGATACAGCACTCTGGGAACAGCCTATTCGTTCAGCAATTTCTTTCTGTGTCTTACCCTCTTGCTTGAGGGTGTCAATGATGGCCTTCTGGACAGCAGTCAGGTAGGCAGTCTTACCCATGATTGCGGTTTTGAGTAATGAACAAGGCTGGGAGTTTTTAAAAGCCTCAGGAATCTTTTGCAGGTGTTTAGAGTTACGTCGTTGATTCAGATGGTTAGGTTAATAGCTTGTTTAGAGAACATTTTCATGATATGCTAATTTTTTGGGACAGGCATTTTGGGTTTTCATGAGCTGTATGCCATAATCATCAGGATTAAAACAATTAAAGACCTGAAATATTTCAGTTGGTGTGCAATGAATCTGAAATATATGAAAGTTTCATTTTTATCATTACATTATGGAAAATAATGACCTTTATCACAATATGCTAATTTTTTGAGAAGGACCTGTATATACACAATGCACTAATAATAATAACTGAAGAATTAATAAAAAGTATTTAAAACATAGGGTCACAGATTAAAAAAACACTAGCTCAGTTTACAGTGTGTGAAATGTCTGCGAGAACAGATGTGTTTTAAGCAGGGATTTGAAGTGAGGAAGGGAGGTGGCCTGCCTGATGTTGGGGGGCAGGTTGTTCCAGAGTTTTACACTAGCTTTACACTACAATCTGTGCCTCATTTACCCATTCATACAGCACTCTACTAGATCTCTATAAAGTTAATTGAACAAATCATTATAAAGAGACTAATCAGAGCTTCATCACATTCATACACCGATGGGACACACATCGGAGGCTATGAGGGGTTCAGTGTCTTGCCCAGAAACACTTCGACATATGACTGCTGGTGGATTCGAACCCCCAACTCTCGTAATGAAGGACGACTGCTCTAACCACTCAGCCACAGCCGCCACCACTGTGACAGGAGGTCCTTCCTGTGGGGTAGAGGCATTGGAGGGCTGCAACCGAGCCTGTGCAGCAGTGGAAACCAAATTCTCCTGGACCAGATGGGAGCCACTAGGAGGACTTGATGCCCCCCTTGAAGGACTCCCAGGAGTGTTGGGCCTATCAAGGGAAGCAGCGGGTTGGCTCTGTGGAACATCCAGTTGCAACTGAGCAAGAACAGAACCATCCTCCTCCGGCTGAGAGCTGGAGGAGGTGTGCGAACTGGCAGTCAACACACGAGCCAGACTCAAACTGCTCTTGAAAATCAGTTCCGGATGCTGCCAGGAAGATAGCATCCTCTTTAAAAGCAGAGGCCCCTGAGCCCATGTTCTGATCCAGGTCAGGGTCCCCAGTCAGATCAGCGTTGCCCCCTTCCCTAAGGGACTCAAGCAGTGCCTTCATCTGTTCTAGCTCAGAGGTGAGATGGGCCACCTACCCAAATAGTCCCTCTAAGCCCCTGGAGCTTTTTGTAATCCTCTTTCATGGAGGTCCAAGTCCTCTGGGGCCACACGCTTTACAGGCTGGCTCGCACTCTCAGAACCAGCCAAATGAGCTGCTCGCAGGGACAAGGGCAGAACGGAACAGTTGGGGCAGGCCGCTTCCGTCAAGGCCTCCCTCAGATGATCCGGCCCCAAACAAGGGGGGCACAGATCAAGTCCATCCTCCAACTAGAGAGGGGTCAAACAGGCTCTGAAGCATTGCACGTCCAGCATCTTACAGCTCACAGGATTAAAAGTATCAGGTCGAGTAGGAAACGCCACTCGATGCTGGAGTCGATGAGCGTATGGACCAGAGAACCCAGTCAAGCAGAAAATGCCACCAGGGATTCCCCAACTGCTAGCTTATAAAAGCAGTTAAAAGTGCTACGACTGCCGTAGAGCCACGGGTAAAAAAAAAAGCAACACGAACATGGTTGCAACTTAAAGAAAGGGAGGCAAGTCGAACACTGCTGCACAACTCAAGAAAATGTCAAGCCGAACACGGCTGAAACTATGTAAATGAGAGGCAGGCACGAAAAACGACTGCAACGTAATAAAATAAAGTCAAGACGAACATGGCTGTACAATGTAAATAAAAGCAAGCACGCAAAACGGCTGCAATATAACAAACAGCAAGCTGACACAGCTGTACAATATGAGCGCGAGCCCGAAACCAGATAAAGGTGGGGCAAAGCCGAACACGGCCGCTACATCCGCAAACTAAAAACAAGCAAGTACGAGCGCGGTTGCAATGCTTTCTGCAAATTAAGGAAAAAATGGCTAAACGCCGTACTTCCAGCCAATAAGAAAACCCAATGCGGCTAGCGAATGAGCTACCGCTGGGTCAACAGAAACAAAACAACTTACCAGTTGAAGTACAATCGTTTAGAGGATACCAGCTTGCGCAGCCTCTGAAGGGCGAGACAGTCCCGCAGCTCCGACCGTAGTCTTGAGGCTACCAGTGTCAAGCGGAAAAAGTAAACCTCTTACCACCTGCATGCGAGAAGATGAAAGGGGCTGGGCTATCGTTGTCACGTGCTTATATAGACTCACCGGTGTTCTGGGGGTCACACGTGACTATGTTGGCATAAAATACTCGACCTGCGCATGCGCAAGAATGATCATTCAGTGCTTTAAGCACCGCCTCTGGAGGTCAGTAGGGATGAAATAGAACTAAACTTTTCTACTGGGCTTCACATAGTAAATGCTTTTAAAAAGTTTAATATTTTAATGTCAAATGTACATGAATCAATATTGATTCCTTAACTTTGATTCAATATAAAATCAACACAAATGTAAATGTAGATTAGCATTTAGATGATGGTTGAATCAACATTGATATAGTATCAGTTATTGTTGAAAACCTAACATTGATTCAACGTGTAAGTCACCAATCACTTTCTGTATAATTTAAATGTCAGGCTTCAACATAGATTCATTATTTCTGCCTAACCATATTTCAACATTGATTCATAATTTGCAATCTGGGGGTCACTCCCTGACCTCTGACCTTCATGCTGAGGGTAAAGGTCGTTCCCTGACCTCTGAAGCGTGTGACCTCTGACCTTCATGCTTAAGTTGAAGGTGAAGAGCGACGGCACAGCGTTCTCCTTCAGCACCCGGTTGTTGCACTCCCTCTTGAAGCAGTCAGCGGTGAAATGCTGTGAGCAGATGTTGCTGTATTTTGTTGGCTTGAAGTTGTTCCTCCTCATGGCGGCAACCCATTTCCCACAAACATCCGGACGGGCCAGAGGAAACCTGAGATGATCCACGACCAAAACCAGTAAAAATACATTCAAAGCATTTCTGCTGGACTCGTCTGGGTCTACTTTGGTCTATTTTATTTTATTGTACTCTATTAATCTCCAGTGTGTAAATTAATTCTCTGCATTTTTCCCATTGCACATGTGTGCACACGTGAAGCAGTGGGCTGCCATCTAAGATGCCTGAGGAGCAGCTGGGGTGGTTAAGGGCCTTGTTCAAGGGCCCAGAGTAGGGCAAATGAGGATGGAGGCAGGTGTGCATTTCACCTTTTCCACCCACATTTTGTTGTTGTTCGGTCCGGTAGTTGAACCGGGGTTGACCGGTGACCCTCATATCATGGGCCCATCCTCTCCAACTTCTGCACCACCACTCCCCAGCTAGTCTTGCATCAAAACGTTTGGCTTGTTCATGACATGGGTGCTAGAACTTCTGGTTTTTGTGACTTACTTTTTTATTTATTTTATTTACAATTTTTTTTACCCCAAAGAACTAAACTGCAATCTCTCTTCAATTATTTCAGAAATAATATTCTCTGAAATCTACTTCAGTTACTGGCTCTGTATATGTTTTCTTAAGCTACTTATAGCTTTGAGCTGTTTTTCTGTTCCTTTCAGCTAAAGTTTGGTAAATTCAGCATTTGTTTTTGTCCCTTAAGATTTAAACTATTGATTTGCTACCTGTAGCTTTAGCATTTGTTTCTTTAGGAAAGGGAAGTCTGAGATTGCCATCAATGTATGTTCCCACACAATGGGAAAATTAGTTCTCTTCATTTAACCCATCACACGTCAGCTACACCTTGGTGGAGCATTGGGCAGCTATGTGGGCACCATGGGGTCAATTAGAGATTGGGCACCTTGCTCAAAGGCATCACGACATGTGGAAATGGCTGGGAGTCGAACAGCGACTTTTTGGTCCCAGGTCGGCTGCCCTGCCTCTGCCCCATCTCAACCCCCCAATTTAGCCAATAGCTAATTTTAGCTACTGTTCTGCTACTTTTAGCAACAGTTTTTCCCAATTTAAGCTTAAGCATTTGTTTAGTTATTTTTATATGTGTTATTTTGTTTAGTTATTTTAGTACGTTAAGCTCCAATATTTGTTTCGCTACAATGAGCTAGTTTTGAGTTTTAGCTACTGTTCAGGTACTTCTAGCAACTTTTATCTTTAGCATTTGTTTTGGTATTTCTAGCTATTATTTAGCTTAAGTTTGTGATTTGCTGATTTAGTTGTTAGCTTGTGTTGTGCAGTTTTTATCTCATGTTATGCTGGTTTTAACTTTATCAGCTCAGTTTCAGCTTATGTTTGTAATAAAACAGCTGAAGGACGTCCAGCAGCAGATGCAGATTAATAATTGGTTTGTGTAAATGTGCACGCTGAAGTTGTCCAACATGCTTGAGATGCATGGAGGCATTTCCAACTGTAAAACTTTGAAGATTTTTTTTGTGGATCTAAAAAAGTTAAATCTGGTCCTCTGGACATTCAAAAAAACAAAACAAAGCAAAACAACAACAAAAAATGTAGAAACGTTTAGTCTCTCATCCTGAGGACTTCCTCAGTCTGAGGTGCTGTATTCAGCTCAGTCTCTTAAATAGCACCTTCTCAGAGTGGATCAACCAGTTTGCAGGGGTGGAGCCTCCGGGTTCAACTGTCCCCCTCTTACAATGCTGTGATTGCTAGTATCACTCAGCCCTCTGTGAACAGTAAACAGCCATCAGGTGCTAATGATCCATTGTTAGGCTGATGGTCCTTCTTGAGCATGTGATCAGCTGGTTCTGGTTGTCAGCAGCAAACTGGTTGATCCACTCTGAGAAGGTGCTATTTAAGAGACTGAGCTGAAAACAGCACCTCAGACTGAGGAAGTCCTCAGGATGAGAGACGAAACGTTTCTACATTTTTTTGTTGATTTGCTTTGTTTTGTTTTTTTGAATGTCCAGAGGACCAGATTTAACTTTTTTAGATTTTTCTACCTGGATTATTGAGCATGCATCAGGATATTTTTTTGTGGAGTTTTAACCAGGAAACTTTCAATATTCTGATAACTCTTGAATATTGTCACCACCAGCTGAGGTTAAAACTGTCATGAAAGAATAAGTTTTAAAAAAAGTCTGTTTAGCTACTGCTTTAAATAAGTGCAGGATGGACCGAGCTCCACTCCTTTAACTAAACGAACTCTAACTCCTGTCAAAGTTGGAGCAATTTTATAAGTTTATAAACAAACAAACATGTTGAATAAAATATTTTTTTTATAAAGCAACCGTATAGTGTATCTTTACATTCGGCAAAAAAAAATAAAAATAAATAAGAACTTCAAAAAGTACCAAATTAACATATCTATTTATTTTAGTTTTTATAACCCCGATTCTATAATCAAGCAGCTAATGTTAACGAGCTTCCATGGTCTGCTCAAATTAACTCACTTGTGGAATGAAATGTTCCTGTCTTTGTGGTACCGGTTCTTACAGCCGTACGCTGAGCACGTTTGGACCATGTTTCCAGTCCAGAATTCAACAGCTTCAGCCCGAAACTCTCCATCGGTTCCTGTTTTCGGACATCACTGCCATTAACAAAGATGGCGGCGGAACTCAGGTCACCTGACCTCCGTTCTTACATCTGATTGGCTCCTGTCACAGGACGACAGCGCCCTCATGTTCAAAGAAAGGTATCTCCATAGATATAAACACTAGATCCAGCATTGACCGCTATCGCCTATTGGCGCTGACGAGCCGTAGAGCCGCCATCTTGGAACGGTCGACCGCTCCACTCAGTGTAACCGGTTTGACAGGAGCAATGAAGTACTTGCGCTTTTAATCAGTCATACTGAATACTAAACTCATTCTCACCATTTTTTCCTCTGTAAATCTTAGGGGTACAGCCATTAAAGATGAACACATGGTTCAGTGTTTTTAAATATTCTTGGTGGAGTTAACATTAACACTAATAAAATATTCTTCTGACAAGATTTGCAAAACTCAAAGTCACTGATACATTTTTATTAATATCTATCTATATATATATATACACACATTATCTAGATCACTGTCATATACATATATATATAGTTTAATAATTTTCTTACATATACACACACATTATAATATCACAATTTTATATTATATCTATTTTTTATACACAAATCTTATGTATTTTTATATATATATATTTTTCATCCATCCATCCATTTTCTTCCGCTTATCCGGGGTCGGGTCGTTGGGGTAGCAACCTAAGTAGGGAGGCCCAGACTTCCCTCTCCCCAGCCACTTGGGCCAGCTCTTCCGGGGGAATCCCGAGGCGTTCCCAGGCCAGCCGAGAAATAAAGTCCCTCCAGCGTGTCCTGGGTCTTCCTCTGGGCCTCCTTTCGGTGGGACGTGTCCGGAACACCTCACCAGGGAGGCGTCCAGGAGGTATCCTAAACAGATGCCCAAGCCACCTCAACTGGCTCCTCTCGACGTGGAGAAGCAGCGGCTCTACTCTGAGTCCCTCCCGGATGATCGAGCTTCTCCCCCTGTCTCTAAGGGAGAGCCCAGACACCCTGCGGAGAAAACTCATTTCGGCCGCTTGTATCCGAGATCTCATTCTTTCGGTCACAACCCAAAGCTTGTGACCATAGATGAGGGTGGGAACGTAGATCGATCGGTAAATTGAGAGCTTCGCCTTTTGACTCAGCTCTCTCTTCACCACGACAGACCTGTACAGCGCCCGCTTCACTGCAGACACTGCACCTATCCGCCTATCGATCTCACGCTCCATTTTTCCCTCATTCGTGAACAAGACCCCAAGATACTTGAACTCCTCCACTTGGGGTAGGACCTCCTCCCTGACCCGGAGAGGGCACTCTACCCTTTTCCGGCTCAAGACCATGGCCTCGGATTTGGAGGAACTGATCTTCATCCCGGCCACGTCGCATTCGGCTGCGAACCGCTCCAGCGAAAGCTGTAGATCACGATCTGATGAAGCCAATAAGAACACATCATCAGCAAAAAGCAGAGATGAAATCCTAAGGCCACCAAAACGGATCCCCTCAACACCTTGGCTGCGCCTAGAAATTCTGTCCATAAAAGTTATGAACAGAATCGGTGACAAAGGGCAACCTTGGCGGAGTCCAACTCTCACCGGGAACAAGCCCGACTTACTGCCAGCGATGCGGACCAGGCTCTGGCACCGGTCATACAGGGACCTAACAGCCCGTATCAAAGGGCCCGGTTCCCCATACTCCCAGAGTACCCCCCACAGGGCCCCCACAGGGCCCCCAGAGGGACGCGGTCGAACGCCTTCTCCAAGTCCACAAAGCACATGTAGACTGGTTGGGCAAACTCCCACGCACCCTCCAGGACCCTGCTGAGAGTGTAGAGCTGGTCCAGTGTTCCACGGCCAGGACGAAAACCGCACTGCTCCTCCTGAATCCGAGGTTCGACTATCCGACGGACCCTCCTCTCCAGAACCCCCGAATAGACCTTACCAGGGAGGCTTAAGAGCGTGATTCCCCTGTAGTTGGAACACACT